GTCTGACAAATATTCACCTTGTCGAATATTCATCCCTTTAGGAGAAAATATGTCATGGAGTTTCTTATGCATCAATGTGAGTTGGGTCACCACGCTTCCGCTGCGCTCTCGCTGATCCCCCAAACCCACTAAATTCCAAGAGACACGACTCTTTAATTCCAAGAGACATCTCATTATTCCAAGAGACTCTAAATTCTGGTAATATGAGTCATACCTAACAAATCTCCATCTTTGTGAATATACAACCCCTTAGGAGAAATACATATGCATAACAAATCTCCACCTTGGTAAATATCCAGCCCCTTAAGAGAAATACATATGTCTAACAAATCTCCAATTTGACGAATATCCAGCTCTTTAGAAGAAAGACATATGCCTGATAAATCTCCGTCATGGCGAATATTTAACCTCTTAAGAAAAAATACATCATGGAGTTTCTTATGTATCAATGTGGGTTGGACAACCATTTTAAATAATCTCTTAATTAAAATTCCTTAATTAAGTTCCTCTTAATTAAGTTTCCAAGAAAAAAGACTTTCCCTTAATTAAGTTTCTAAGAAAGAGAACTTTGCCTTAATTAATTTTTTCTTAATTAAACATTCTAGAAATCCTTTTCTCTTAAGATGGCGAAAAGCTGGGGCCGCGGGATGGATATCGCGGCCCGCTTTTCTTCTGCTTCAGCTTCGTTCTATCGCGACGCTGCGAGCCAAACGATCGAATTTCGCGATTCTCTGCTGCGAAGTCATAAAAAAGTGGCCCCAAACGTCTCATTTTTCTTAAAAAAAAAAAAACTCTGTTTTTCTTCTTAGAAAAGCTCCATTTTCGCTAACCTTCCAGAAAGATTTCGCCTCTGCTTTCCTTCCACAAAGAAATCTTTCATTTCCCTAGTGCAGCAGCAGGTTCCCTTTTCTTGTCTTTCCTGTGTCCTGAAAAATTTTCGCATGCAGCAAGATTTTCCTGGTTAATATGAGGAATTTTTTTTTATTTATTACCTCTAAAGAAATATGAAAAATATCTCTTCCAAATTTTTTCTCTGCAGCAAAGGAATAAAATCGAAACTTCCTTCCAATTTTCGTCTACACTTCCCGTAAAGGAATAAAATCAGAACTTGATTTCCTTCTATTTTTCTTCTGCTTTCAACAAAGGAATAAAATCAGAGCTTCCAATTTTCGCCTCCGCTCCAGGCTAACGTCGAACCTTCCTTTTCTGCCTGTAGCGACTTTGTCTGGTGTTGTTGCGAGATTTAGATATACACCAATTTGTATATATATAAATCAAACAGGAGAACGATCGACGAAGCGAAAAATAGAACGAGAAAAATTTACACCATAAAAGAATAACACTACATCAGAATACACAGATTTACGTGGTTCGGCAAATGCCTACGTCCCCGGAGTTGCAGAGGATTTTACTACTTGAGGAATTTACACCAATCGATCACCTCGACTTATAAGAATAATCTCTCACACTTCGTTGCTCTCTCATTTCTTCTCTCTGTTCTTCTCTCTCTGTACCGAGATACACCGAAGAAAACTCTACACCGAGATACACCGAAGAAGACAAACTTACAAGAGAAATAAACTAAATTTCTCTTCTGCCACAAGCCACCAAGAAAAAGCCTAGGGAGAACAATCTTCTTTTTCTTCCTTCTGCCGTAAGGAACTGCTCCTCCTTGCACTTCTCTTCCTTTGCCCGAAGGAAACCTTCCTCTATCCCGAGGAAACCGAAGAAGAACTCAAAGCGTGACTACAAAACCCAATGAAAGTCATCTGAAGCTTTTATCACGAACATGAGTGAGCGAAGAAATGTTTCACTTCACAAAAGAGGAATACGAGTAGTTATTTGTGAAGAGGTGTGTCTCTCCAAAATAAAGTAACCACCCAAGCATAGTGGACCGGGCTCCACCGTTTCTAACAATTCTCCCACTTGGAGACCGATACACAAGCTGCAACATGTCCTTCCTCAAACTGATATCCTCCACTGCGCGGTGTCGCCTTTTTTTTTCAACATATATCCTCCACCTTGAATCCTCCACTTCTACAACTCAAAGTCTCTGTCTTCACTCCAGAAGACCAACTGAAGTTGTGCACAACTTCAGTTTCTCAAGAGTAACACCTTCAATTAACATATTAGCAGACTCCACAGAGCTTTGCACTTCCAAGCTATTTCCTAGGTCACTCTTGTCTCTTCTTACAACTCCCACTACATGGGCAACATCATGTCTCTGCTGAAAGTCTTTTTCAACAAGTCTAGCCTTGTACCTCTTACTGACATCACGCTCAGCCTTCACCTGGTACACTCACTTGTTGTGCAATATCTTCTTCCCTAGTGGAAGTTTTGTCATCTCTCACTTGCTCGAACTTTCATCTTGCAAGATTTTTTCATAGCTCTGTCGTTCTTCAATATCTGTCTGTGGAACAATAGAAATGGGTGCCCCATACTCACTTTCCTCTTCACTTCCATTATTGTCCTGCACTGTGACCTTTGGTAGATTTCCTACCACATTCAAAGCCCCTGAATCCAACATTAAGTGTTCAACAGAACTATGAACTGCCAACAATAGTGCATCATGTGATTCTTCGTATACCACATTTACGCTATCATTCTCCATCTTCTTAGGA